CTCGTGTCTCAGCCGTCGCCTTGCAGTTCAGGGAAGTCACGTTGGCTGATCCAAGCCAGCAGTGGCTCCCAGGCCCCCTCCCTGCACTCCCCTGGTACCTCCTGGGCATCTGCCGCCTCCAGAAGCGGCTGCATTTGCCCAATTGCACTTTCCCTGGATTTGTCCTAGGCTGATGGAGACCCCCCAGAGTCGTCCCCTCTGGTGACAATTCAGACTGTTAGAAGAGGATGTGGTTAGGGACCCTTTTTTTATCTTAACCTTCCTACCGTGGGAGCAGCCACCCATGTAGGTGCAACTGCCTGTGCATTTGCTCACGCTTTTACTCTGTGTGGGCCTTGGCTGTAGGAGAGGACCTGGGCTGTTTCTGTCAGAGACGTGACAGGTCTGGTTTCTGAACTTGTTTTTAATATCCTAACAAAACCAAGAGACAGGTAAATCGCAGCCAATTCCCCCCCACTGATCAGCTTACACTGCAGATACACGGGTACCAATACTGTAGCATAGGCCTTGTAAACACTGACACACGTCCACAGAGTCCAGGCCTCTGCTTCATACTGCTTGTTGCATCACTGATGAGGACATACTCAAGGTTACTTGATGCCAAACATTCCCATGCAGCACTACTCTGGGTCTCTCAGGGTGTATTTATCTTGGTTTTTGTGTCCTAACACCTCCAACTCGGATATATTTATCCTTGCAAAAAAAGTCCTCTGAGGGAAGGCAGTTCTGTTAATCACTACTGTACAGATTGGGAGTTGCTGGATAAAAGGCTAAATTAATTTCTCAGGACATTTGTGGCTGCGCTGGTCTGCCAGGCACCAAATTAGCATCAGGCCCATGTTGGTCTCTGGGCCATTATGGCCACTGATTGTAATCACAGCGAGGGGAAATGGTGCTTTTCCTAACGCTTAACACAGTGCAAGGAAAATCAATGGCAGAGTTGAACAGATCGACCTTCTAGCAGGCACTGATTAAAAGAAAAATATGCTCACAAACAAAACACAGTTACTGTTTGAATACACTGCCTTAACCTTTCATTAACCACGTGCTCGGCAGCAAGTTGCTCTGCAGCAAGTTGCCCTGCAGCTTACTTTTTAAAGAACAGACAAGCATTAACGCCATGGTAAGAAGGGCTCTGACAACATTGTTTTCTAATTCACGCGGGTGGAATTGCTCTCCACATTTCAGCCTGTTGTATGTGACAGGGGAAGGGCTACCAGGAGTACCCCCACCCCAACACATCCTGAATCAGCATCTGTAACTCTTGCTCACAGACTGGGGAGCTGGAGAAAGTAGTGATCCTGATACGGGAACAAACCAGTCCTGAGCAATACTGTCCAGAAAGGCAACTACTAAATTGTACATATTACAGAGCAAAAAAATTAGGCAGAGAGATTGTACTATCCTGTTTACTATTGCTACCTCTCTTAGGACAGTGTGTCTACAGTTCACCAAAACAGTGACAGGTTAGTTCAAACATGGATTGGAAAATAGTTGACTACTGCAGACATAAGGAAAGAGTTTGCTTGGCATCAAAGAGAGAGTGGTAGCTGATCAGGCCTTAGTTCGTGCTGAGACTCTAGGAGAGAGGCAGAGAGAGAAGCAGCTGTGCCAGAGGATAGGTCTTCCCACCACCCCTTAGGACAGGATCAAGAACCCTTAGACAAAGCCAATCCCATTTTATTTATTCATTTTAATCCACATGACAAACTGGATAACACCCATCCTTTGCAGCCTAGCAAGGAAAAAGTATATTAGCCACTATCTGGCAGATAAAAAAAAATAACAGTGCACTCCTAACAGTGATGATAATTCATCATTGTAACAATTTGCCAAAGGATGAGAGAAAGCAGAGCTTTCACTACTAGACATTTTTTCAAATTGAGAGGACTTTCTTCTCCTAAGTAAGTGACTCCCTGTGTGGGGGGGTGTACGTATATATTCCATCTCAAAGAAGAATTCATTCAGGGAAGCCATAATGGATAAGCAAACTGGTAGAGTCAGTGATGCTAAAGCTGCAGATGCCCATCCTGACCCTGCGTGCATTGTGCACCCTGCAGCGCAGCACTGTCTCGATCTGCTGGGGCACACTACCTGTACAAAGTCACTAGGGCCTGGGGACAACAAACACCTTTGTAGCTTCATACTAAAAGATGGCTGCCCCAAGCCCATCTCTAGGCTATGCCATCTTTGCAGAGCACTCGGAGAGATCTAGGCTACAATGACTGACAACCCATCCCATGGGAAAGGGCTGTCCAGGATGGAAAACTTCTGGCCTCAAAATTTTGGCCTGAGACAGGCCACATCCCAAGGGAAGCTGGAGGTGCCCTGCTGATCATGGGCTGCCATGGCAGGAGGGAAAGGCTGAGTCAGAGCGACCAGAACTGCCCTGCACGCAGCACTGGTACGTCTGTGGCAGCGCTTGTGTGACTGTGCCAATGAAAACCTGATTTAGACATAACCAGATGGAGTTAATGTTCAGCCAGTAACTTTATATGACAGTTAAACTTTAAACTTAGTTCAGAAGACATATTGGCTGAGAGATTAACAGTGCATGATGGGACCTTAGCAGCAACCTTCTCTCTACTCCTCAACCACAAAAACATCTTCAAAAACGGATAGAGCTTGGGGTCTACTTGCTGATAGGAGGATATGGCTTTATTGGGGAGAAGATCATAGAGCCCCTGTGCCAACAAGACTACATCAAAGAAGTCAGGTTTTTGATTCAGTAGAATAATTCACCACAGGTAAGAAAAGGACATCATCCTCTATTTAACGCTCATAAGCCTCCCTTTCGGGACAGTATTATGTTGGAGATGCCACAGTTACAGGCATGGGGTAGGAACCTGAAGTAAGCAGCCTGCGTGAAGAATAACTTCCAGCTCAGAGCAATTTTTCAGCATAGGACTGAATTAAAGCAAAATGATCCATAGTGTGTAACCCCAGGAGAGGGATGATAGTGTGTAACCCTCACAGGGAGGATCTAAGTCCTTATGCAAGGATCAGTTGTGAGGAGCAACATGCACACCGAGTACCTGACATGAGAAATCGGTACCTGGTTGCTTCTGCTCCACCTGTCTGACTAACAGCAATGGGACAAAACTTTGCTCATGAACTGCTCCAACCAGTTAGCAATTCTGAGAAAATAACCCAAAACCCCCTGGCAATAACAGAATCAAGCTCAGCACTTGCTGCAGATACTGTGAAATAAATTACAGAGATAATGGAGAGAAACCTATAGTAGCCTTACAGTGCTGTGCATAAAAAAGAGGTGAGTCTCAGTAAACAAACTCAAAGATGTTAAATTAATCCATTTGATCATATTCTGAGAGCTGCCTTCTGATATTTCACAAGGGTTGATTATCTAATCTCTTTTACTTATTCTTTGAGAATACCCACCCCAAACAAGCCAACGCAGCTCACAGGGCTCTGCACGGTTAGTGGTGGGCGAGGACTCCCTCTTGCCACCTGCCCAAACCTTCAGGCTGCTTCAAACCAGAGAGGAAAAAAAGATAAGGGAGACCCTATCTGTTAGGAGATATCGATAGAAAGGAGATACTCTTAAAACAAGTTAAAAGACTCCCAGAGAAATACCACTACCAGAAACCCTCCCTCATGAGATGAACTCACCAGACTGGTTTCCCCAGGCTTCAGGTAGCTGATTGCCTTAAAAGAACCCATAATTAAAAAAACCCCAACCAAACCCTGTTTAAACCTTAAGGAACTGCCATAATCCCTGCTCCAGCAGCTGTCTGTGGCCTAACACCACAGCAAGTCACAGAACAGTGAGGCAGAAGCAGTCCTGAGGGGCCATCCCAACCCCCTGTTGCTTTTGCCCCAAGGCAGCCTCAGCTGGCCCTGACCTTCCTGACAGATACCCTGACCCCAGGCCACCTCGGGCAGCCAATATCTGCACCGTCAGGCCGTTACTGTTGGTACCCTCTAATCTGCAATTTAAGTCCTTGATTTCTCATCTAACAGGTAGACTCGGTTAGTACTGCCATTTGTCATGATTTGAAAACCACCCCCCTTCCCACTCCATGCTGTTTTCTCCTTTAGGCTAAAGCAACTGTCCAACTGTCCGTGCTGCTCTCTCCTCTGCAGCTCACACCTTCTGTATCTCTGGGCACTGGCGTTGCTCTCTTCTGGAAGAGGGGCATGGACGTTAGGACAGAGAGGCCAGCTGTGGCCTTCTCAATGCTGGGTAAAGCTGATGGATTTATTTCTTCTGTCCTGCAAACTATTCTCCTATTTGCACCTGTCAGCACAATTATGTCTTTTTCACAGTTGCAGGACTGAGCTGACAGGCAATAGCTCCTGAGCTGCCCTGGCCTGATTTAATTCTCTCAGGAAGACCTGCTGCCTCTTCCCCAAGTCCAACAACTTCTCTTTGTCCCTATCAAATTTCACCTTTTTTTTTCCAGACTCTATTAGTTATGTTCAGCTCGTACTCTAATCCTCCAGCATACTTTTGAGTCCCTCCCAGTCTGATGTTATCTGCTGATTTAATGAACAAATCTGCTAGATCCTGGATGAAAACAATAAAAAAGATTCAAATACAGCAATAAGCCCTGGAAAGCCCCAGGGCAGCCACCTACCACAGCTGGCAATTCCCTGGGAACTGAAATTCAGCCAGCTTTATGCTTACCCTAATGTGGCTTACTTGGACCATGTTTTACTGACTCGCTTATGAGAATGACACAGAGTTTCCAAAGCCCTTCTAAAATCAAGATAGATGACATCAACCTGTTCCACAATATCCGCACAGCCTGTTAACTTGTCATAAGAACAAAGGAGATTTATCTGACTTGATTTGTTCTTGACAAATCCGTGTCAGCTGCTTCTATTCTCCTTATTATCCCACAGGTGCTCACACACATGTTCTTTAAGTGTGTGTTCCTGAATTTCCTGGGGTTGAAGTCAAGCTGGTCTGTAATTTCCTGGCTCTTCTTTACCTCCTTCCTAGGCACAGGTGTTTCATTTGCTCTACTGCAGTCTTCCAGTGCCTCCAAAAGTTCTCCGAAGTAGCTGTTAATGCAATAAAGCTGCGGTTACATCCGTCACCTCTTTAGCAGCCCTGGATAAAGCTCATCGGGCCTTATCAGTTTGAAAATTTCTCATGGTTGCCTTGTATCCTCCCTGGTTTTGACTGAGCTCTCATCATTCTCTTGCTGGTCTTAATCGCACCAGCTGCCTTAAGAGAGGTGATGCAAGAGGGACTATTTAGCACTTCAGCCTGACTGGTTGCAGGCTTTCCCTCACCACTGAGTAACAGCAAAATCCCCCCACTATGCGGCTGCTGATGCCTTGCTCCACCTTTCAGCACTGGCAAGGACTTTGAGCAGGAGCATCCTCCTCTGCGCTCTCTTTGGTCCTCCAGGGAAGCGTATTGCCTCTGCTACCTGAACAATGCCTTCTTTCTTTTTCTGCTCTCTTCTCGCCGAATCAACTCTGTGCTTTAATGTTAAACTAATATAATATTAAAACTCCCGTGAGCTAGTCCATCAAATCTTGGTTACGCTAATGAAGAAATCAGCTTGACCCTTTTGGAAAACTTCTGCCTCTTCCTACATCCCATGCTTCTTGGCAAATGCTCAGCTGGCTGACCTACTATCTTCAATTTTGTCCCTCCTTTGAGCTAACAAGGAATAACCCCGTTCTTTTGTCCCCTTGTCCTGATAGCTGTTCACCGAGAGTTTCCATGTCATAATACTCCCACAGCCGGAGTCACAGCCCCTTCCATGGGCTGCTTCAGAAATCACTACCCTGGTCCGTGGCAGCGTGGGGCTCTCCAGGAAGCTGACAGCCCAGGGCAGAGGAGACATTTCCCTCCCAAAGCACTCCTGTGACTGCTACTGCTGTCTGGCATAGTGAGAAATCCCCAAGGAGTACAGCTTCCGAACCCAGCTTCTTGCTGGCCTATTATCAACTAGAGAAAAGTTAAAAAAAATCCCACATAAATGTTACAACACTGTCTCGAAGCAAGAAAATTGGCAGTAGATGCCAACAGTAGTCACATATGGAATAGCTATTTTGAGAAGGAGGGGGAAAAAGGAGATAGGGAAAAAGACCTGCCTCTGAATGGGTCAAAGGGAGGAATTTCCTATGAAACCTCTTAACCTGTTACATTATTTTCCTTTCCCATCTACAGTATTTGCAATTTAAATAAAGCTCTGTGAAATGTCCCTTGAATTCACCTGGTGTTTTCCCCAGTAAGCTCTAAAAATCTTCTGTCTTAAGGAAATTGTCTGGCACAGCTTCACTCCTTCACATGCGCTGGATTTAGTCCTGCAACCAGCTGCAGCTCTGGGCCACCAGTCTCCCATTCTTGCTCAGCACTCCCCTTGGTTGCATGCTGGGGATTTGCAACGACAGCCACAGTTATTCTAACCCACGGTTGGTGCAAACCGGTAAACTGCTGTGCTGAATTAAACCAGGTGCAGATCGAGCTTCTCGGGGTTCCGACATAGGGATGTATTTTCCCCCGGCGTGATGTATTCAAACAGCACAGCCGTTAGGCAGAGTATGCTTCAGCTTGCCCTGCAGAGAACAAAGCCTTCCAAACAGGACCCTCACTCTGCAAGAAGGTGGGGATGCTGATTTGTATTTTTTTTTCCCCCTGCATCTATGGTTATGTTATTTTTCTCCAGCTACCGCTCATGTGACAGTGATGAAAGGAGACATTTGCGACTACAATCTGCTCCTTGCTGCCATGCGGAGAGTACACGTGGTTATTCACACAGCTGCTATTGTGGACCTCAGAAACACTGTGCCTTTTTGGAAAATGAGAGCTGTCAACGTTGGGGGTAAGCTCTTTAGAACAAGCAATTAAATACAGCCTTAAATTCACATGCCTTGGCTACGACAAACATATCCTCTCTGACTCAGTGCTCCCTTGTCCCCTGAATTTCACACACACCGCTCTGTACCAGATGAGAAAGGTGCCTGGCACTTGTCCTTTCCAGAGGGGAAGTTTCTGCCTTTGCCCCTCTGTCCTTGCTCAGGGCAGGCCATGCTGCTCCTTTCCACTGCTAAAGCTTTGTCTTAGAAAGTCAAATCTGGACCCAGTTATTATATAGTTTTTCTGGTCAAGGGTATAACTTTGCCTAACAGTACCAAGGTGATTCAGAACATGCCTATAGTGGTAAGAAACTGTTTAGTATGTGACAAGGACAATAACTAAACGTTAACCCCTGTTCTAGGTAGCTTATAGCTTTCCCAGGGATTTCCAGGGGAAAAAGCCCTACAATATACACCAGCACAAGACTATACCAGTTGATCTGCCTCCATACTATAATGGAGTGATGTGATATTAATTTTAGTCAGAGTTTACAACTATTCTGTACCTACAAGCCATGGGAGCTTCACAGGACTTTCTTCCTATCACCAAGAGCCGATTTCATGTCAGTTGCAAGATCTGCTTAAAGAAAATTTGTTCATAAATCTCGGAAATAAGCACAGGCTATAAAAATAATGAAATCCCTATTACAGCAGCAATTCCAATGGCACCTCGGGCTGTTAGCTACTAAAATAGTTGTTAACCACAAGGAAGGAATTTTATAGATTTATGTATATATATCTATCTCTCAAACTCAATTACTGCTTAGGGCTTCTACTATTTGCTGTTACATTCAAGGGCAACATTTGAATTCCATCCTTCTTTTCATTGCTGTAGTTGTCTTCAAAACCAGCTGCTTTTAAGAGCCTGTATTGTGCATGTAAGAATATTCAGAGCCTGAGGGTTCCCATTGCTTTTTAATGGCTTAGTGAGATCTTCCTCTTCATTGTCTGCTCGCTGTGAGCAAGGTACTTTAGCACAGTGAGGTTCTTACAGATAGCAGCGAACATTGGGCAACTCCCCTATTCAGCAACCAAACCTCTTGCAGATGTTTGCAGCATTCCCAGAAAACCACACATGCAAAGCTTTTTTCCAACGTGACTGCTGACCGAGAGCCTCTGAGGAGCACAGTTTGAGATGTCTGAAGAGGAGCCTGATTTTCAGACAAACTGTTCTTGCGTTTCTGCCTCCCCTTGGATGCCTTCCTGTGGACCTCCCTGAAATGAGGCTTCTGCCTGCACTAGGACTTCTCAAAATCCTGAGAATTGAGAGATTAGTCTAAAATTTCCTATTAAAATCATAGCAGATAAAAGAATAAAAACGAAGTGTATTTGATACCTGCTGTAGACTTCATGGGGAAAAAAACAGGGTCAAGACAGGTCAACTGTATAATCATCTTGCTGGCTCCTCTGCGTAACTCAGGCCACAGAAATTCATCCAATTACTGCCTTAAGCCCAACAATTTGTGGCTAAATTGGACTATGCCTTTTCAAAAGACTTGTTGCCTAGAATTAAGGACTGCAAGTTAATGAGCTATCTATCACGTCTTTCAGCAAGCCATAACAATGCTGAAGAGCATTAGTGTGGCTATGGTTAATTACCATTTCTGGCAAAAATTTACATCTTCTGCTTTGATTCTCTCCTCTGTTTCAACCACTGGTTGCTGAATCCTGTTATAGTCTTGTTGACTAGATTGAAGAGCCCTCTTCTACAAGAATTATTTTTTCCATCTAGTCACTTAAAGGCTTTTTAATCTGCTTTTTGTTAAGCTGAATGGATTTTAACTCAGCTGTTTCCAGTGATATTTCTCAACAGGGGTTCTCAGCTAACTTTACATATTGTAATAAGCTCATGGAGAAGTAAATTGATTCTTTTCCATCAGGTCTTCATATTGATTCATGCCTTCTGAAACTATCTTAAACTCCGGATCTTCTTGATAATTTCAGATTATGCTCTTAACAATAAAAAGAACAGAGAAATCACAAGCCCTCCCCACACATGATCAGCAGCAAGGCTCAAGAGCAGAGCCTGATTAGCCAGGTATAAATAGCACGGAGATTTCTGGAAACCAACCCTGTGACCAGCTTCCTTTGAGCTGCCTTATCAGATCTGAAGGCCCTCAGTATGCCACCATAGTTATGCCCTTGTCATTGAGGTTCTCGTAGAATCAACTCGAATCAAAATCACGATGAATGCAAAAGTCATCCCTGGAAGACTCATAAAGCACTTAAACCCCTCCCCACAAACCAACCAACCAAAAACCACACACACTGACCCACAAGTTCAGCCAGAACCTTTCTTAAACCAAAGTATTCATCTGGATTTCATGTGGACTTGTAAGCTGCCCCCACTATTTTATTTAAAATTCTGCAGCTACCAAGACTCTGTTGCAATGATTTTCACCCTGTAGTCATCCTGCAGAACTTCTATAGAGCAATACGCGCAACTAAAACACCGATCCTTTTGCCAGAAGGCTACAATTCACCATTTGACAGTCTGCCCATGAATCAAAAAGTTGGAAAACCTGGTGTTTTGCTCTGCCGACCTGTCAGCTTCCTTTTTGTTATCAACTATTAAGTCAGTTGTCAATACTGTTAAGCCACAGTATAGCTATAGACGTACCTGCTACTCTTGTGTTAGAAACCATCCATTCCTGTGCAAACGTACCTGAGGAACTGCAGCCTTGACCTGTGGCTTTACATCTTTTCAGCCATAAAAAAGATGGATCTGTTCCAGATCAGAACCCCAAGCCTGGAAATCTCTTTTGATTTGCACAACAGGAATCAAGGCAAGGTGGTTAATGTTTGTCCTTCCCAACCTGCCCCACGGGTACTGAAAATGTGTCAAGAGCTTCCTGTGTCCTGAACATCCCATATGTGTCTACACAAGCTTTATTGCTGCGGTGGGACCTAATACATCGCACGAGCCCATGCCCGGGTAAGGCTAACCAAATCTCCGTCACTTTGGTTAAACAGCGATCAAACTGCAACCAGATGGAGATTTTGGCTGTGGCTACAAAGGAGAAGATGTGTGTTCCCCTTCCTGTCTATTCCTCTTCACTTTCTTGAAAATCCTACTTTGCTGCTTTTCACTTTCAGGAACCACAGCTCTTCCCAACCTGGGTATCGCTGATTGAAAGAGTTGGTTGAGAGAGGTACGACCCAACTGCACCTCCAGGCTGTCCCCGGTATGCACAGCCCTGCTCCTCTAAGCCCTAAAATCAGTTTCAGATAAGGTCTCGGAGGCTTAAGGTTTGTGATACAGTCAAGTTGCATCCTGCTGTTGGGTCAGAGGTTTTGCCCTCCCCTCACACTAAGTCAATCCAAAGGGTAGGTGATGCTCTGCTGTTACCAGCCCACTATCCCTCCTCTTTTCAGCTCCACAGTGAATGGCTGGCAAGCCTGTACCCAGCTCCTACTATCAAATGTGGTCAAATGAACACAGATTATTTTAGCACTATCTCAGAAGAAAGTTAGTTGGCCACACAGTCTCAGGGGGCAGATGCATTTGGTGTGAAGTTGCCGTACAGTATTTGTGTGTCGTTACACTCTTCTGTGATCCGGATCTGACCTGTAAGTTGCACCCTTCTGTCCCTCAAAATCCTTTTTCCTGGCAATATGCTAAGGAGGGCTAAACTCCTGGACTTTACACTTTTGGGCATTATGCTCAACCCATCTCTTCTGTATGTGGCTCCTGTGAGACTGACCCACAGACCCAGAAGAAGCAGAGCTTTAGAAAACCTCCTGCAACAAAGGTGGGATTTGGAGCAATACAAAGACAGTGGCCAAAATGAGGATTTGCAGGGGTTTTTTTTGCTTATAGATCTTTGATATCCAGAACTGACGTTCACAATCAGCTGACGCTCCTGCTCAGGACTCAGCATCTGGATATCTTCTGTATTCATGGAGCAACAGTACTTGCACCTTGAGAACAGAGTTGATATTTCTGAAGACCAGGAGCTGAAGTTTTAGATTAAATTTGAAGTCGAGTAGAGATAGCTGCAGTCTGATACGTACCATTGTAAGGCTCCTTTCTGATTTCAAGCATGGCTGTAGCCATACAGACTGCTCAAACCGTGAAAACTTCTGTGCAAGGGGAGCTGGATCAAAGTCAGGTTTTGTCTCTATACGCAGTCAGTCTAGACACAGCTGCTTCAGTCATTTGGCTCTAGAAATATGAGCCCAGCTAGAAAATGCTGCTTGAGACATAACTTAAAATGACCCACAAGTCTAAATTTCATACTCGGAAGTAAGCTAAGGCATAACCTAGTTATTTTGAAAAGTGTTCAGGCACCCAAATCTGTAAAATAAATGTCTGGTTTATGGAAAAAATCCACGAGAGCAACAAACCTCAATACACTTGGGACCATGAGCACTAGAGGCTCTGTGTCACTGAAAAACTACGGAATTTAGTCATTAGCATATCTAAAAATGAACATAGATATAGGCACATCCTTGCTAGTATTTTAGTCCTGCAACTTAAGAGAGACACGTGAAAAGACATCTTGAAAAATCTACCCCAAATCTTGCCTGAGAGGACAGTCCTTTGGCTTGTAGTGATGGCACCGATGGGTGCAAGCAAAAACCTACTTGGGCTGATGCTCATAGAGCTACACATGAACATCCTCTGCCCACCAACTCCCAGTCCTTCCCCATCACATAAATAAAACCACCACCCAGAGCCTTCAACTCATTTTGCAGAACACACTCAGGTTCTTCCATGGTGCTGGGAGAAAGCCTGAGAGAGTGGTCTTCATTCTCCAATGATTTTGATTTTAAACTAAGGGAATTACATAATGCAAAAGGAGAGAAGGGCCAGCCCCCAGTCAAAAATCACACCACCCGTCTCAATTGGGAGCCCAGCGACGACTGGAAGGCACCGTAATATGGCACGCTTTTCCAGATTGAAAGCACAGGTGATGTGGCTTTCCCCTTCCTCCTCTTCTTATCTTCCCTGTCCCCACCCAATCTGTTCTGCTCTTCTCCCTCACAGTCCATGATCTTGCCAGCCTGCCTTTCCTTTTCTCTGTCCCCCTTCTCCATCATTCCTCATATAATTTTATTTAACTCACTTTTACGTGCTCGGGAATTGACGCAGACAAAGCATGATTAGTCTCTGAACAGGGTGATGGGTGCAGGGATAATGCTCACACCTCAGCATCCGACAATAATAGAAAATGCCTCTGTCAGTCTCAATCCCTCTGAGACAGCCACCGCTGAGATACCTTCTGACAATGCTGCTCCAGTCTTATTAGCGTTCAGTTATCTGTGATCGTTTTGAAAAGCAAGAGCATTATGCTGAGCTCTTTGTTACTACCAAGCTTCAGAAGGGGTGGGGGAAGGCAAACACGAGCAGAGCTCTGCAGCCCGGGAACAGCAGGCAGGTTTGCCCCTTTGTGAAGCTGCTGCTTTTTGAAAGCTTTGCAAGGCACACAAAAAAAATTGGATTAAAAAAAGAAAGCAATTAAAACTAGAACTTCCACATAACCCCCCTACTTTCTTGGGCCTCTCCAGGGCTTGCAACAAACCACGCACAATCAGTCTTTTGTCTTGCTTGTTTTCTGGTTTGTCTCTTGCTCATCACCCGTAAACACGGGGAAGGGGAGGAGGGTCTTGTGATAAAAGCCCAGGGTGTGCGAGGAGGCTGTATTTCTGATGCTTCTAATTTATTTCTCTTGCTGTAGCACAAGAAGGCCCTGATCTCAGCTGGGATATCTGAACCACAACATACTAGACTGCCAAACAGGCAGGAGAAAGGCAACAGCATTATCCACGTTTTACACGCAGGGGTCTGAGCATAGAAAAGAGTAAGCACGTTGCCCAAGGTCAAACAGGGACCCTGAGTCAGAGCTTGCTCTCCGAGGCCCAGTGCTTGACAAAAAGACCTCTGCTGCAGATTTGCTGCATGAATTCGTCACAGGCCACTTAACCCTTCCAAGAGGTGCATCTGAGCTGGAACTGCAAAAGCAGCATGATAAATCTTTGTTGCCCCATGTGGGGGTAGAGTCTGGTGTTTGCCTAGGGTGAATTTCTCCAGGAGAGCCAAATACAGAGTAAATTAATTTTAAAATGTGAAGAAAGTCTCCTGCGGCACACAGAGGGAGAGAGAGCATATCCATGCTAGTCATGGCAGCAGGGGAGCAAGTGGCCATATGATATTCATGGACGGTCCTTCCCAATGCTTCGAAGCAGTTTTCTTCACTCCCCAGCTCCTCCAGAGCCCACTGAATCTGCTTAACCAAATCCTGCAACGGACTAATGTTGATCTAGAACCACTGGGACAAAATGCCAGTGCCCGGGTGGGGAATAGAGCTGCTTCCTTGGTTCTCCTTGAATTTATTTCAGGGCCTATGAGGCCAGTTACATGCTAGATCCCAGGGGCTTTCCTCCTTGCAGATCTAAGTTAGGAGGCTGAGGAGCAAGTTGTTTTCCATAGTGGCAACCAAGTGTCCCCAGCATGGCTGTGAGCCCTGCTTGGTTTTAATCCTGGGTCCACTTTGCTCTTCCCATCCAGTGTAACTTGCTAGGGGAGATGAAGGAGTAATCCCAGCACAAACCTGCTGATGGCATGTCTTCTGGGAAATCACTAGCAGCTCTATCACATCCCCAGCAAATGTCTCCCAACTCTAATCAGCTCTGTGAGAAAATTAAGCAGCAGCTTCTCCTTTTAGTTTATGGCTCATGAAAGGCTTTTCCTTACCTCTAATGAAAAAATGAAGTAGGATTGCTCACATTTTCCTGCTCTCCATCTTCTTGTGCTCTTTCCACCTTGTTCAGCCACTTCAGAATTACTTAAAAAGGTAACTCCATGGCCTTCTAATTTGCCTGCCAGAATACTATTTACTTCAATCACACTATTAATCAAAACCAAATCCAGCTCTCAGGAATCAAACCACTACCCTCATGCAAACCTGCCTGTGAACACCCAGAACCACCTGGTATTTCTTGAGGCCTTATTTCTCCCAAACTGCAGCAAGGATCTTAGATTCATATAACTCACAGGGAAGTCCCGGAGAACAGGGATTGCAGAGTAAATCACACCATGACAAATGTCTCCAAGCCCTGTGCTCTACTCCGTGGTCACTCACTGTCTCTCACAATCTATTTCAGAGGAAATGAGACACTAAATACAGTGGGGAAGTGGAGCTGCCTTATGGGAAGACAAAGGCCGTGGCAGAAAAACTTGTACGTGAAGCCAGTGGAAAAAAGGTACAAAAGTCGATGGTAGCACCCCTGGTAATACAGCACATGACAGGTGGAAGCAGAGAGATGGTTAGAAAGACCCCACAACTCGTGTCTAAGTGTGTAGCCAACTGCTGCCTTCACTTGATGCATAAACCACATTGCCCGAAGCTTTCCAAAGCCTGATATTCCCACGCCATCGGGAAGCTGCTAACCTCTCGCAAGATCCACAGGTGCTGCCCTTTGAACCTGTGCTTTAACTCCACCAGAAGGAGTGTGACTTTGGAAGGAGCTGTGTTAAATTATGGCCTAAGGAACCAGGTTCACCTACCTCATACTGCATAAAGGCGTGATCTGCAGACGTGCCTGAGTGATTTAAGAATCAGAAATATTAGTGTACCCAGAGTCAGCCACCTACCTATGTTAGCTGGCTAGTCTTTTTAGACTCCCAGTACAGTCAGCAGACAGACGAGTTCTTCTAGAGGATGAATGTAAAAATGACGCCTGTGTCCTAAATCACTGCCTGGAGCATCTCTCTCCCGGTTACAGTTTGAGGCCAGCCAGCTTAGCTGGCTTCCCCTGGTACCTGATTTTTGTTGGTGCAAACACTCATTGATACATCACAACTGCGGAAGAGTTAATGCCCCTAGCACCCTCCATCCAGCATCTCTCAGTGAGCACCATGTGGATACAGGTGTACTATGAAAAAAAACCAAAAAAAATCAAACTGGGCACCTCCTTGCATTTTTAGGGACCCAAAGCAGACCCTAAGTGTCCAGAGCACCTCTGCAATTGCTGACTCCTCTAGCTCAATATTCCCAAGTTTTGGTTTTCTCTGGGAAACCCAGTATCACTGTGGAAGATTTCATCTCTGAATCTATCGCTTGCTAAAATCCCTCCCTGATTTCACAGCTCAGCAACGGTGAAAAACCCACAACCTGCATCATCCGTGCAAACACAGTGTATGGGGAGGAAGAGTTGTATTTGCTTGCCAAAGCCAGGAACAGTGCCTTGAACTACCTGGAGCCTGAAAACACATACGTGGGTGAGTGAATGATTGACCTCTTTGCGTGTGGTGCTACCAGGCTGTTTTAGTCACGGGGGATTTTACATGTCAGCTTAACCATAATCCTCCAAGACAGAGAGATGAGTACGGTGAATGAGCACAAGTATTTTTATAACCACAAAACTTAGACTGGCTAAAAGAATTTTTAAAACAGTTGTTTACATACTACTGTTTTTCCTGGGAATGGTTTTCTTTTTTTCTCTTCCCCTCAACATAGGAAAAAATTGTTGTTCAGAAAACTGGGGAAAAAAGGTCATTGGAAAAAAGGATAGAGATCTAAACTTTCTTTTTCTAAGTAAACATTTAAAGGGATTTTTGAGGGGAGAGAGAGAGAGAAATTCAGGCAGTATTTTTAAAATATTTTTGGTTTGAAAAAACACTTAATTTCTTCTTCATTAGAAGAAATTAAACTAACTCTACTTGTAAAATTCCTTGCAAAAAAGCTGCACTACATAACTGATTTTAGCAAGCACACGAAACTACTCACAAATCCTATAGAAAGAGTTTGTTGTAGTGTTGAATGCATTTCAGGGAAGTATAACTCACCATTAAATCATGCAGGGTTTTAGTTATTTCTGTGTGACACACTTATATGTCTTTTTCCAAAAGTGCAGATAACAGTAGTTTGAAAATGCTGTTAGAGAAGAATCAGGCCTAGATAAATCAAGTGACTTCTTCAAAGGCTCACAGCAGAGCCAGGAACAAAACCCTCGAGCGCTGCCTCCCATTCATCCTGCTCTCGCTACAAAACACTGCCCTTTTGCTTCCCATGAACCAGTATCACAAGGCACATTAATTGTCCAGCTCGAAGGGGAGACCAAAGTTTAAAGGATCTTGGAGGTCTGGATTAACTACTCGGTCTCTCTACAGTGCAGCTGAGTAACACGATGAGGGCTTTCCCTGCTTCACAGCACTGAAGCCAGCAGATCCAATGTACTCGTTCACTCCTACAGTAAACAGGAAAATGTGGCTCCTCCTGAATACTTGTTTCTCTCCCCTTCTTGTTTCTCCAGGGAACGATGCATGGATGCATGTTCTTGCAGCTGAAACCAGACTTACTCGCAGGACAAGTGTATCACTCCTATGATGACACTCCAACAAGAAAAGGTTTTCTCATCAGCTGTTGTCCTCTACGGACCCCTCAGTGAGACCAGGCTCACGCATCCCTTGCTGGAAGATGTGGTTAAAGATGCAGTTGCACAGGATAATCAGAGTAATCTTGTACCCTTTCTGGAACCCACGGCCTTTCCTAGACTTGCCTTTACTGACCATGGTCGTCAGCACCACCTCCTATGAGACGGACAAAGCCTCCAGGCCTTTTGGGTACAAACCCCTCTTCACTTGGAAAGAGAGCAAGCACGGAACTGCACTGTGGTTGAAAGCAGCTGCAGGGAACCTGGAACTCCCCCAACTTCATGAAAAGAAGACCTAAGCAGCATGTTTGGGGTAAGGAGAGAGCTTATCGCACCACCTATGTGCAGCAGATGCAGGGCTTGCTGGCCTCATTCCCATGGTGCCACCACTGCCCGGGGATCACATGTGGGAACGAGAGAGACAGGTTCAGGTGAGAGATGGTGCACAGCAAACACCTTTGTGACAAAACCAGTTAACCAGTTTTGCTCCACAGCCTGATGAGCCTCCATCTCTTTCCATACTCAGCAAATGGACCTCTGCCTTGCCACGCTCTCGGGCAGCTGGTGGGATGGCTGTACCCAGATCATACACTCAAGGGGTTTCAGAGATAATTTTGGGGAAAACAAGGAAAGCCCAGCAAGTTCTTGCTCTGATTTAGGGTTTAATAAAAAGAAAAAATAATTCCCTTTTCCAGAGCTACGTTTTTCAAGATGCTTCCTGTTATTCTTAACGCACAGAATATTATATCTGCTTTGAAGTATTATCCCTATCAAAAGAAACTTCCAATCTCTTGTGCTAACAATGTGTAGGCTGACTTACTTTCTAATCATATGGATGGATAACTGATGTCTACAAGCTCAGAGGTGGGATTCATATAGTTTGTAACTCAAAATCTCCTACCACATAGCACTCTAGCAGCAAAGCAAAATGGATTAAAGCCCACGGTCAGCTGCCACACCGGCAGACAGCAACTTCAAGTGAAGGCCTTAGGGGCTGTGTTTATGCTAAATAACGTCTGAACTTCAGGAGGAAATGGCCATTTCAACTCATTCCGTGGTACTGGAGCTACACAGTCCGTCTGGAAGCAGTATTTCACAGATGATATTTTCCTAACACAGATGGGGCAGGCGCTTCCAGACGCTTCACAACAGAAACCGTGGTTTTTACCAGCTCCTCTGTTTTTAAGACATACAGAGAGACTGGTAAACCTACATTAAGGACAACAGAGATTCCAGTTTTCACTGGAGCTTGGAGGAATGGGATATTTTTACAATAGTGATTCAAATCTAAAATTAATTCTGTCAGTATTACACTTCTGTGTTCTATGAATACATACCCATCTCTTGAGTTTTCGTACAGTAAAAGCATGCACATGCACAAATAAAAGCTTATTTTAATTACAGGTGCACTAATACTCCTAGAAAAAGCATGTTTCAGCATAGCATCCTTGATAAAAATGATCAAAATTTGCTTCTTGTTAGTCACAGTAGTTACCCAGGAAGGAAAGCCAAGCAATACGGTATGAGTTGCCAAGTTAACTTCATCAAAATTCACACTCACCAGAGAATTCTTTGAAGATGAGCTAACAAATCAAAAATCATTTGTTCTGGTAATTCATGAATTATTTCATATAACAAATAAATTTTGGGGAAACTACTACAATCGGCTCACAGAGAATTTGGGAAGTTGAAGTGTGTAAGTTATCAGTTCCCTACTTTTTTTTCTCCTACCATTTGTGCTGGGAGGTTTTGAAGAAAGGGAGTAGTAAGTTTGCCGGGTTTTCTATTTCACTAAAAATTCTTCTTGCCGCTTTTTTGCCATTCTTCAAATGGTAGATGACAGCTTGCTAAGAATTTGATAAAGAACTATACTCCAAATTTCTCATGCACGTTGCCAGAGCATTGCCACAGCATAACAACGTTGGTCTCAATAGGTTTTAATGCTTCTGCAACCTTGGGTTTACCTTGCCAAAAAAGAGCCACTGGGTGGAGCTGCAAGCCCGTGAGACAGGTACCCTCGCCTCGGGAGCTCCGGTGTTGCAACCGCTTGTGCTTTGGCCGGTTTTTTTAAAAGGATGGGCAGAGGTGCCCAGCCAGCGGGGCGGGCGATGGGGCGGGGGGATCTGCCCGTGCGGGCCTGTCCTCCGGCTGCGGCACTTGGGGCCTGCGTTCCCTCGGCTGGCGGGATGCAGTCGTCCTTTTATCCTCACGTCCTCATGTCATCAAAGGGACTGAGGAAATGGTTTTTCCACTCAGAACTTGTTAGAAAAGAATAGAAGTTTGTTTTCTGTTTTAAAAAATAGAATTAAACATGGGCACTCTGACCTTTGAGAAGGCTTGACGAAGCGTAAGGGCTGAAGCTTTCAGTCCCTTTCAGAGCCCTTGGTGTATTCCTTTGCGGGATTTGGAGATGCTGAAGGTATCGGATGGGACAGTGGTCAAGGCCCAGTACTATCCTAGAGATCACACTTTATAAGCTTGCCTGCTTTCAGAAGCCTTGCTGGGAACCTCATTGTGCTTTTTGTTCCTGTCCTGCTCATCACCACCTCTAATTTTGATGCTTATCAGGAAGCAGATGACATGCAGGATAAGGAGCAGGGATTTTTAAAGGCAGTTAAGTGCAGGATTTTTCAAAAGTATCTGAATTAGTTGTCTGCTTGTCTTTATACCTACCCACCTTCCAAGCTTTGACAAGAGCAAGTAGAGGATTCCCTTTCCCTGCTCATGGTAGAAGTAGGGGAAAAAGTTAGACAGCAAAGCTTCTGTGCTGTTTTCCAAAAAGATGAGTAAGCTTCCTTTGGCTGCCCTGCATTTTGGCTCCTCCAAGCTAATGCTGCTGCAGACTTCCTGTTATATCCTTGATTTTATCAGATTATAACTTGTTTTCTCCTGGCAATGCTTTCATTCTTTCTACTGCACTGGGTTGTCATTGGCTTTTCTTCTCAGGGTCTCGGGTCTTAGCCCTATTATGTAACAGCAGCAGCAAAAAAAAAAAAAAGAGAAAAGAAAAATATTTCAGATCTGTTTCTACTTCTGGAGAGGAGCCTTTGTGCACAATTACTCATCCAAGAGATTCAGCAGGTATAACTGCTTCCCCCAGGGGCTCCATTATATAATTGGATTTCAGCCATACAAATTAAATCCTATCTTACCCCTTAGTTAAGCCAGGCAGTAAGTATTTAATGCTAATATCCCTGACAACTATTGCAGGGAGAAGCAGAGATGAAGCACAGAGGAGACAGATGCATGCAGTCTCTACTGGAGGAGCAAGGAGGATGAGCAAGGAGTCCATTGATAGACAGATACCTGCTATGTTTTAAACTTGGCTAAACTTCCCCAGCACAAGCCATGGCGTCTGCTGGAGTTGTCTGAGCCGGAACGTGGTTCTCCCTTCATTTTCCATCCTCCAGTGTTCCCATGTGTGCACTGAGCATTCACCCCCCAACACACATACACTTCAAAGAGCCACATGCCTAACCCTGCTTGAGTTTCTATGGAAGTCTCTGCTCTTGTGCAATGTCTGAAGGAAGCAAGTTTAGTAACATTAAAACTCAAGCCAAACATACAAACAAGCAAAGAATTCCCAAATTAAAAAGAGAATCTCAAGCGAGTTACTAATTCATCTGCATTTTCTGTTGCATTCTGCCTTCTCCTGGCATGTTTCTTTTAGACAAAACCCTCTGGGCAGAGACCATCTCTTTTGGTGTCTGGTACATCAGTCACATAGTTAGTACATAGTAATAAAGGAAAATAGATTCATGGTAGGAGTTAAACCAGTCAGTCTGGTACTGTAATTGGAACATAATCTTATATTGACAGTATTTAACACAGGATGTGCAGGGAACAGATGGCAGCACGCCAGGCCTCAATCGCTCTGCAAATATTGGGAAGATATTTTCCAAGTCCAGCTCCTGAACCTCATCTCCGATGTCGGAAGCTTTGCTTCCTCAAATGGGCCTAGATCCACTCACTAATCCTGGTTGAAGCCCAACCACCCGTGTGCTCCTCAGTTTGCAGACAGCCTGGCTAGCAGTGCTCCTGTTGCTGACTATCTTACAAATGCTTAAAGAGAGATTTGAAAAAGCATCAAGGGCAAAAGTCTCCGACATCCGTTGGTACAAACACTCCCAAACCTCTCGAGACACTCGCGAGCCTTTCCCTTGCAGACAGAGATCTTGCCTAGGACACAAGACGTGAACCCATGTGCACTTTCAGGGCCAGGGGTACCCACCAGCGTATCGGCCTGCTCCTGCTTTCATCTCCCAAATCCTCAGTCATACATCTAACTCAACAGGGCACACTGGCACACAGAGCTGTTCCCTTCTCTAAGCCTAAAACACTGAGACAAAGTGGGTGAAAGAGGAAGCACATTCATGTCTGAGATGCATCTTGTGGTGTGGAGTGAGAGAGTTCAAGTGCAGACACAAAGTCAGCTTTCCAAGGGTATGGGAGAAGTATACTGTGCTTCTTACGTCTGCTACAGGAAGCTTAAATTGATTTTTCTTTATTTCAGCAATTAATTCCCATTAATCAACTTACTGTACGATGCTGCACTATAATTCACAAGTTTTATGTATTATATGAATAAAATTGCACATATATTTTTATGTGATTTTCATTTAATTGAATTCTGAGGAGATTTATCTGCTGGGTTATTAATAAATCTTAATATGGCCTATAACACTCAATTGATATTTAATTAACCTGCAATAACTGCCTTGTAAAATGTAAATTAAATGCTTTATTTTTTCAGGCATATAACCTTAAATCAAATTCTTCATTCTAACAGCAAAGCAAAAAGGAGTGGGGAAAAAAAAAGATTATAGGCAAACAAACCTTAGACCTGAAAATACTTGATGTTTAAAGAGGTTCAAACTGGAAACTGGATCCATGCTTTGTAATCAGTTCTCCTGAGGAAGTACTTTTCCACTGTCTCCCCACCTTTAAAGATCATAAGAATCTGGGTGGATTTAGATGAAACATCAAAATCTTAGGAGGCTTGAAGAGAAGTGAGAGGCGCCCATTACTAATAATAAGGTTGCAAATTCCCGTAGGTTTTGTGGTATTTGGCATTTTTCTTAAAGTCTTGGCTCCTAAAGTGACATTATCAAATGAGAATGTCAATTTTCATTTAAAAATAAAAAAGGAAAGATGTTAGAGCTCTTTGATAGGGGAAGAAGTTTGCAAACCTGAATGTCAAAGGCATGAGAACTAAGAGACAAAAATACATAAAATTTGATCCTTATCTTTAAAAGTATCAGAACTTTTTGAGAGACTTGAGATGTTTGAAAACTGGGAG